AGACTGCTATACCCAGTAAAACTTTCAATCACCATAGAGAACAATACAAAGAATCAAAGAAGCAAAAAATAATAATAATAATAATTCAAGAAAAAAGATTTTCTTCCAGAAAATCAACAAGATAAGCAAACCCTTATCCAAACTAACCAAAAGGCAGAGAAAGAATAACCAAATTCACAAAATCAGAAACAAAAAAGGGGAGATAACAAGAGACACTGAGGAAATTCAGAGACTCATTAGGTCATACTTCAAAAACCTCTACTCCACAAAACTGGAAAATTTAAAAGAAATGGGCAATTTTCTGGATAGGGTCCATGTACCAAAATTAAATCAAGTCCAGATGAACAGTTTAAGTAGACCTATAACCCATAGGAAAAATAGAAGTAGTCCTTAAAAGTCTCCCAACCAAAAAAAAAAGGAAATAAGGTTTGAAATGAAATAACATTCATACATTTCTTTAAAATCTCCATGAAAAGCAGTCTTGAAACTAATGACACATTCGTCTGGCAAAGTGCAATGATTTTAGCATCTTCATTGTTGTGGATGCTGTTTGCTTGCAGTCAAAGTTAGTTTTCCTAAAATGTTATTAAGGAAAGGCATAAAAATGATCATTATTTTATCTGTTCAGATACAATGAATGTACAATAAACTCATATAGTTAGGAGAATATTTTTAAATTAATTTTTAATTGAACTTATTACTCTATTTGTTTTGGCTAAAATTTTGTAATACTGAAGTCTTGTATTAGAAGAGTTTAAAGCCATGAGACTCTCAAATTATCTCTAAGAACTCTCTAATCTTCAAGCAGACCTTTTTGTTCCAGACAGTCTGAATAATAATTGCTGCCCACTTTTCTCCCACTTAAAAGATAGAAACTTCAAAGCATTACTGCTTCATTTATTTAATTTGGCATAGGTTGCTGAAAAATTGAAATAATCCAAGTATTTATTGAAATTTTGAAATAAAGATATATGCAAACACTTTTCATGATGGAAGACAAGTGTTCAGAGATATACAAGAGCCATGCTACTACACAAGACATGGGACAGCATTTCTGGCTAACAGTGGAGACAATGCCAAAGGTGGGAGTGTGCTTGGAACAAATAAATTAACTGTGAGAACAGTCAAGCCAAGACCCAAAGGGGAAGTGGTAGGTGGGTGAATCTGATCTAAATACTGATGGCTGCTGATAAGGATAAAGGGAAGAAACCAGGAGGTGTATGTGTCTGTCTGGGTGAATGGTGCCTTTAAAATTAGTCTTCAAACACTTTCTGTAATCTTGTGCTCCACTTAAAAGCACTTTTAGCCTGCATGCAAAAACAATCTTCTATCTCCCTGTGAGACAAAATTCTACTCTGAGCCAAGAGGAGCCTAACATTCCAGAAGTGTAAGCCCCAGTGCAGAAATCCAAATTCAATTCATCAACACCATCTGTATTACCAGCTGTTCACCTTCCAGATTTTCTTTCATTTTTCAAGTACCCCATGTTCACAAGACAATAAAATATTAAGGAAAATGCTCTTCATGTTCTGAAGTCCTCCATCTCAAAATGACCCCCCTCCAATGTTCTTCGTTGATGTTGTTTATGCCACCTGAGAAACAAAATGTATTTATTTGTCTTGGAGCTACTTAGTAATGTTTAGCAATCTCTTCATCGGGAAATCTAAAAGCTCACCCCAGAGAAACAGCATGTGTTTCTTTGAATTTGACAAGATGGTCACATTCAGTAAATTCTGTGTCGTTTGGCTCAATATTCCCCAGTCACATCACACTTTTGAGGTGCCAAGCTCCCCCTATTGGCCTGTGCTTCTGCAGAGGATTTGACTTCTAATTCATCCATTCATCCATTTACTCATTCACAGATTTACATGATGCTTACTGATTATTCATTATATAACATACCAAAAAAGTCTTTCTGATATTGCCCATCCTTCAACTTTTATTTCTTTGATTATTCAGCCAATCACTGAGGATATTAAAAAGATATGCTTATGGAGAATTTGGAGAGGTACATGAGATAGTATTGCAAGTAAAGATTTTAATGCATAGATTGACTTAATAGTGCTTTAACTTCATCTTAAATGTCAGCTAAATGTAGGATTATAGGTTAAAGTTCCTAGCTGATGGTAGTATTGGGAAGTTATGGAATCCTAAGGAAATCGGAGTTAATAGAAGGAAGCTAGGTCCTGGGGGGGGGGGGTCAATGTTGAAGAAGCTATTGGAATCCCAGCCCCCTCCTTTCCTCAGTTTGTTATTGGTAATTTTAATATATCAGCAAAAAACTTCACAAAAATCACACGAATATTAGGCCTAATAATGTTTTCAGTTGGATATACAATTTGGCCAGAAAATTAATCACTGTCTGGGGAAATGGCCCAGTCAAGAAAGCGCATGCCTGTTCCTGAGTCTAGTTACCAAAACCTATGTAAAAATAGATAGAAATACAGAAGACGAGTTGTCTCAGAACTTAAGAGTAGTTACTGATCGTGCAGAGGACCTGAGTTCAGCTCCCAGTGCTGATGTCTGGAAAGCTCAAGACCACTTATAACTCCAGGTCCTGATGATCTGACACCCTCTTCTTAACTCTGCAGGCAACTATACTCATGCACAAATGTGCATGCAGACATGCATGCATACATGTAACTAACCTAAATGACCTTTCAAACAAAATGCTAAACATGGTGTTGCATGTTAATAGTCTCAGTTCTGGGCAGGCAAAGAAAGGAGGATTATAGGGGTCCCTGACTTGCCAGACAAACTAACTTGTGAAACCCAGGCCAATGAAAATTCTTACTTCAAAGGAGGTAGCCAACACTCATGAAACTGACACTTCAGTTGGTCCTCCAGCTTCCAACACAAACAAGCACATTTGTGTGTGTGTGTGTGTGTGTGTGTGTGTGTGTGTGTGTGTGTACTGGCAAGGACACTTGACATGCACAAGAAAACACACACACACACAAAGTTTTAATTTTAAAATGAATTTAATTACATCCTACTTCTGAGATGTGATTATGTCCAAACAGTACACTGTGTGGGTGACAGTCTAGTCTGGCTCGTCAACTGACACTACACTAAGCAGACATTTTGAAAAAGACAGGTGGTGTTCACACACATAGTAGATCCTGTGAGTATATAACAAGAAGATAATCAACTGCAGACACTAAGACACTAATACAAAAAAAAGAAAAGAAAGAAAGAAAAGGAAACCACAACGAAGAGCATTGGTATGGACTCTACTTGGCATTCCCCTTCAGTAGCATATAATAACAAACTACAGAGGTACAGAGACTCAAGGAAGACATTTCTGTGGCAGGGAAGGGCCTTGATTAAACAGGTGAGATGGAGAATGCCACGGAAATTTAGATTGCATTCCAAATTACAGTGGTATTTAATCTAACTCCTCACATTACTAAAAAGTTGATGAAGGATGTTAACAAGTTGATTGACATGTAACCAGATAGCTCTGATGAGACTTGAGTTACACATGAGTCTTCAGCATCTTTATGCTGGTGTCTCTTCATCAGTTATGTAAGACTAGTTTCAAGTGGTTTTACATCGTTAGACTGGTTAATATGCTCCAATGGCACAATGATCTATGCAACTGTTAGCTATAATCATCTTTATTTTATCATAATGGTGAACAGATACTATTTGTAGTTTACTTGAGTAAATTTCATAAACATTTCTTAGAGAACTTAGAAATACAATGAATTAAATTAATCTACTTAAAGTCATTAAGTTATGGATTTAGGATTTCATCTTAAGGATCATAGCTTCATAAATTATTAATTTATTTGACACAGTAGCACAACATTGTTATTTGAAGCACATAAAAATATTCATCTTAACCATCGCGCATGCGGGAAGCGGGGGGGACACGCAGCTCCCAAAGGCATAGCCAAATATGGAGTTGTTTATTTCCAACAAGACAGGATGTCGGCGCCATCTTGTAATGGCGATCCTGTCCGGCTCCCTGCACTCTGATACAGCGACCATCTCATGACTGCACTGTCCTAGCGAGTGTGGTCTCGTCACAGTCCTCAGCTAAGCACGTTGTTGCTATACCTGGAGCTGTAATCCCTTAGTATTATTTTCCCCAGATGAGAACAAAGGCTGCAAGAGTAAGCAACCCGGTTAATTGAGTTTGAAAGATAGAATTGCAATAAGGGACCAATAAATGGTGCAATGAGAAGGATGTTTTAAAAAATCTCTAATGAACCCCAAAGAGGTAGTGATTTTGGAGTCCTGCAAACAACAGCACAAACAACAAGAGCAAGAGCTGTGACATCATCGCACACTGGCTGGGAGCCTGGTTAAGAGTGTGGGAAACAACTGAAAGTGCCTGTTTTTTTTTTTTATTTTTTTTTTAACTTTTTTTTTTTTTATTGAGACGCAGTCTAATGTCAGCTGATGGTGACAACCAATCACAGGGCGACCCGTGTGCCTACTCCCTATAGAAACAGCTGCTTTAGTGCTCTCGGGGCGCCTCGCTTCCTGCTCTCCCTCAACCAAGAGCACTCCATTAAAGCGTGATCTGAGAAGAATCCTCGTATGGTGGTTGTTCTTTCTCGCTGGTCAAGAAGTTCGCCGCATCAGAGCAGCCCTAGACTCGATGGCCTTGCAGACATCTGATCTCCCTGTTTTTCCCTGCAGCACTCTACTTCTGTAAAAAGTGGATCCAAAAACCTCCCTTGCTCATCTTCTCTTGGGAACTGGGGGACTTCCAACTGAAGGGTCAATAAATGTAATTAAAAGGCTCAAAAAAAAATATTCATCTTAACAAGGATCACATTAATCCAACTTATTTCACTAAACAGTAAATTTTCAAATAAAAATTTTTTTACAATAGAGGGAGGAGGTGGAAATTTTAAATAAATAAAAAAACATATATATACGCCTGAATAACAGATTGAATAGTTCATTCTAAAACAATGCTGGTTACATTATTTCAGTGGACAAATCCTTTGGCCCACGATTTTGAAATGGATCACAGAAGGCGTTCACACCTTACATGTATCTGGTCGAAGTTCTGTTATTTTCCTTTCCGTAAGTACAAAATCATACTTACAAGCTGGTGGTCTTGGAAAGAGAAGAAAAGAGGGAAACAGCTATTAGTAAAGTAGCAAAATTTATTTCTGTTCATGCAAAATTAGAAAAGTCTAAATCTGAAATGAGCTGGTTTTCCAAAAGTATAGAGCTAGAAGGATCTCTTAGAACTGAATCCACTTGTCTCATCCGTGTTGGGATGACATATAGTGCTTGTGGGAAAGAAAATAATTCTCCCTTTCCACTTCTGTCTCTTTTGCATCACAGAACATTCACAATGCATATTATAGACAGTGCTATTGGAATCAGCCCCTTCCTGAATTCAACATTAAAGTAACTAAATAGCTCTTCCATCATAACTGCCCCCAAGGACAGAGACTGACATATAAGACATCATTCATCTAAATTCTTTTCATCCACCCCAGTTTACCATTCATTACAATTAAATTTGAAATAACACCATGTAACATAGTGTATATTTTAATAAGAACATGTATACAGCGCTGGAGATCAAACCACTATATTTAAGTCAGCATCTTGCCCAGTTGCTTATTTTCCTGTTAACGTTTGGAAAAACTTGAAAATAAAAAAATGGATGGAAAAATAAAACATGGTATAAATAAACATTTTTTAATCAATGGTTATTAAATCAAGAACAATCAGATCAAGCATACAGATTATCTTAGTTTTGGTGACAGGCTCCAGAGTTCCATGTCTCTCAACCTCCTTGTCTGGTGGAAACACTACTGGGTGGTGTTTGTTTTCCTTTGTCTTAGCCAGGTCTTGAAACACACCTCAGGTTGGCCTTGAATTTACTTCAAACTTGCTCTGTCCTCTATTTTCAGGGACCACAGGCATGAATCACTACTGTTGTTCCTTTGCGGAACTACAGCTCCCAGCATTCTCCTGGACTATGGACATATTCCCAGAAGCCTTTGCATTCCCCGTTAAAAAAGCGAGTGCAGCCACGAGCTCTCTCTTCACTGTTCTCCCCCCCCCCCCCGTCGTGTTTGCACACCTTTTACCTGCCTGTTACCCCTCTGTTGTTCTCTTGCAACACTACAACTCCCAACATCCCTCTGGACTCCAGCGCACGCAAGCGCGGGACACATTTCCCAGAAGCCTTTGTATCCTCTGTTAAAAGCAAGGACAAGTCACGAGTTCGCCCCTTCTTCTTGCCCCTTTTTCCTTCTGTGTTTGCACGCCCCTCCCCACCTGTTTGTTGCCCCTCCTCCATTAAAAGTGCACCCACGTGGGATTGCCGCGTGTCTGTGTCTTTCCTCGTGTAACCCTCGTCTAACCCACAGGAATTAAGAACAACACCCTCCCCCATTAAAAGTGCACCCACGTGGGACCGCCACGTGTCTGTGTCTTCTTCCTCACGTAATGTCTTTACCCTCCAACCCGCGGACAAGAAAGCCAGCTAGAAATTAAGAACAACAACTACAGCTCTCAATGTCGCAACATACTAAAGAGCAGATTTTGTTTGATTTTTTTTGATTTTTAGAAGACATAAATTGTATGTTTGCATATAAAATATAAACACTGATCTTTATGGGAATGCTCCCCATTTAAAATACTAAAGACTGCTCACAACTGCCATTTTCACATTGTGGTCCGGTAAATGTGAACTGATGCTGCTCAGAGACTATAGAAATTTTCAGATGCCTGCAGCAGATCGTAATCTGAGCCTCTAGGGACTGGCCATGACTCAGCAGTAAAGGCACTTGTTGCTCTCCCAAAGGACCCTGGGGGTTCATTCCCAGCAACCACATAACAGCTGTGGACAGTTCCAGATCATCCACGCCCTTGTCTAGCATTTGCAGGCACCACATGTAAACAATGCAAGGTCACCTCATAGGTAAAACACAAATACAGGTGAAATAAAAGTAAAGCTTTTTAAAAATTAAACAAAAGTTAAGGAAAGGTTTTTTCATCCCTCAAACACTTGCACCAATTCCTGCTCTGTTTGGCTATATTTATGTATGAATATACACCTTCGATATTTGATTTTCTTGTGCCTCATTTTCCCACTCTTTTCGTATTAAAAATGTGTCAGATCCACAAAGGAAAAAATTACCTCAGCCAACTTAGTGCCTTCCCAGACTGCGTGTCTGAAATATACGAGCAAAGCAAGGGTATCCTTTATTTTCTTCTTAAATAGAACCTACTCACAAGCTAATTACCATGGATTTGTATTAACATATAGAGTATATGTCATACCACATAGCCCTCCCTCTCGAAACCATGTGCAACATTATAAGAACAGTTTAAACAGATGTATAAAGCCTGCCAACCTTAAGCTTCACCAATATTTATATGTTTTATTTTCTTTCTCTTTACATTGTGAGTAGTCACATTTTCCTTCATAACTCTAATTGTGAAATAGTTTGTTTTATACAATTAATAGGTCCTTCATTCTTATGAAAATGCTGCTATTTCAAAAAGGTGTATTTGTTAAAAGTCCCAAGAGAAGGAAGAGTTTCACATATTTAATTTCAGCATGATCTTTGAATGATACATTTCTACTATTTTTCTTATTACAGATTAACACAACGGACAATATTACATTGATAAAAAACTTAATAACAACAAAGGTAATTCAAAGATTTTTATCTAAAGTTAAACCTAATCTAGTTTTTAACTGCAATACATAATTAGAATAAAAATAAGAAATATATTTTTCTTCTTTTAAATATCTTTCTGAGATGTTTGTGTGATATATCACATTATTTTTCTAACATTCTTTTGTAAAATGGCTTAAAGAAATACTTTTAAGCATTAATACAGAGACAGAAATATACCTGATCCTAACTGCCAGACAGGGATAAATTCATAAGTTACATTTCCCTGGGTAGATAAGTTGTGCTTAAAGGGTGAAAGTAAATACAGCTAGTTTAAATATTTCTCCAGGCCTTCTAAAGAACATCTGCCCAAAAGTAGTTTTATTGCTTATTGAAATCCAGCCCCAAAGATATTTACAGAAATTTTGCATTCATAAAAATATTTGTAGAGCACAGAGCAGTCAATATGAAAAGACACACAATGTCTAGCATCTGATCCAAAAAGACCAGGCATGATATGGAAAAAGCTCAGTGGGAGAGCATTAGCAGAGCAGGATCAGAGCTGGACCAGAGCCCAAGGTTTGAAGTTCAGGACCAAAAGAGGGTAAAAAACTGAATAACAAAGTGCTTGTGGCCCTGGCTGTTGTCTTTTTGGCTTTGTAAGTAATTTGCTGGCAGGCAAAGAAGCAGAGGATGGAACCCTATGAGGAAGAGACTTAACCTATTAAAACAACCCACAACATCAGCACAAATGTGATAACCAACACAAACACACTCAATTAGTTATTATACCTTCATTCCATGTGCTCAAAAAAATTAACCACAGACATAAGCTGTAAAATACAAATCATACTTCCAAATACAATAACAGTATATAAACTGAAGACTGTGCTATACAGAACTAACAACTGTTTGACAGTGTAGAAGCAAAGACCAGCAAACAGCAAAACATAGCAACCCAAACTCTCCAAAATTAGATCAGAGAGAAAGTGTAATCGGGAAAATTAAGAAAGCATTGGTGAGTTCTAGTACAACAACAAACTTTGAAATAGGTATACCCAAATAAGATATAAAAGGAAAATGTGATACAGAAACAAAAATATATTTGTCTAGGTGAAATTTTAGATAGAATCTTATTTTAAAAAGAAAGAGAGCAAATTATCAATCTGCAGGTCTGTGAGCAATAGACCGCAAAGACAAGAATTCTGTTATAAAATTCCTTCATAGAAGAAATGTTTTCTGCCTGTTAGTCTTTAAAGCTATTACTCTACAATGTTATCATTAATCATTCAAAATATTAATATAAGAAATGTGAATAAAATTACTAGGCATATTGTAATCTAACTGTTAGAGCCCAGAAAAAAAAACAGTGACTATCCAAGTAAAATAAGTTCCATAAGAAAATAAGTTGTTTATATATGCAAAGAAGGTATAGCAATAGATTTCTCAGGACAATCAATGCAACAGACAAAGAAACAACCTTTGAAAACACTGAAGTTCTTCTGTGGGGACCAGCCCTCAGCAGCTCAGGGATTGAGGGGGATCCACTGAACCAGTGAACTAAGGACTTGACCTACCTGAAGGATAGCTCTTTATGGGGCCAGCAAAAAAGGGAAACGCACACACAATCTCCAACATGCCAAGATCACACCTAGGGTCCTAATAAATAGCAACCTTTCAGCAGGTCAGAGAAACTGAAGAGGAGATGCAGAGCCTTCAAGCCCCTGGACAGGCTGTAAACAGATGCAGGAGGGAGCCTGTTCTGGAACTAGCTTTTGTAGACCAGGCTGGCTTCGAACTCACAGAGATTCACCTGCCTCTGCCTCCCAAATGCTGGGATTAAAGGCGTGCACCACCACCTCCCGGCTCGTTTTATTATTCTTTTTGTTGCTGGTTCTACTCTCTTCTTCTTTTGTTCTGTTCTTCCACCCTAATGTTTCCTTCCTCTGTCTCTTTCCAGATTAATTCCTTCTATGCTACTCCCTGATATCTTCCTTCTCACTTCCTTTTTTTTGACAGCTTATAGACCCCAGCAAAATCTTGTAAACAATATAAAAATTAAAATGTAGTTACATTCTATTTTTAAGTGAATAATTAGAAAGAATATCAGTAAAAAAAAACAACATGTTTCCCATTTGTTTTACATGATTAAACATTGCACATATTACAGGTGAAAACAATTTATTCCCCAAACCCCACAAACATTCATGTCCAAGCAACTTGTTACAAATTAATAAAGCATAAGTAAACAAGGGATTTTTCTCAGTCAGTTCTTTTACTAGCAGGCTGCATTTTGCAGATACAAAGAATGGATCAATCACCTTATTATTTATCTCAAAAGGTAATTTTATCAAAAATTCTAAGAGAATCACAAATCCAAACATCTATGTAGAAAAAAACAATCATCAAGCTCTACTTTAAATCCTCAGGGTACATACCCATTCATGAAAATATTTTTATATCAGGAATATGAGGGCAGAAATGGATACAAGGAATTCATCATCACCTTTGATCACCAACCCATCCTTGCAGGAAAGGCACATCAGCTAGCAATAGCCAGGTTGCCATTGTTTTGGTCCTTTGACCTCAATGTGTTCCTTGATCAACTATTAAAAGTGTTTCTTTCTAAATTTTAAATTGATTCCTAATATTTTCTACCTCAAATCATTAACAAAATCATCTTAACCTAACCTTAAGACATTATTTAAAACTTTATGTTAGCTATGATATACACTGAAACCCCTGAGCACGTCTCCCAACATCAAGATTAAAAGAACTTGAGGTAGCCTAGCTTCTGGGGCTCAATTGTTTTCCTTAATCAGTAACCTAATCAGTAACCTAAGCCACAGTCTATAGGACTTCTGAAGAAAAACTTGTAATGAAGGAAGGTCATTGGTTAAATAAAGAAACTGCCTTGGCCCTGATAGGACAGAAAATTAGATAGGTGGAGTAAACAGAACAGAATGCTGGGAGAAAGAGGAAGTGAGGTAAGACGCCTCAGACAGATGCCAGGCCACTGCTCTCCCAGGCAGATGCGATGAAGCTCCAACCCAGGATGGACGTAGGCTAGAATCTTCCATGTAAGCGCACCTCGGTGCTACACACATTAATAGAAATGAACCAGGCAGTGTTTAAATAAATACAGTTTGTGTGTTGTTATTTCGGGGTATAAGCTAGCCAGGCGGCTGGGAGCAGGGCAGCAGGAATTCAACCCACAGCTCCTTTCTACAAACTTGGAAGTCCTAACTGATAATCTCTTGTTCCTGTTTTCTATTTTCTGCAGTTCCTGCTTTATCACGGGCAGGGATAACACTATAATCTATCTTTACCTATATTAATTTTCCCACTAAACTAACCACTATCATAATCCCTTATCACATTTGTTAAAAACCCTTAATTATCAAAATCATCACTACTATTGATTAGATCATTACTTCAATTAAACAGTACAGCTTAAGAGCAAATCATCTTCATAATAACCCACAGGTAAAAATGCCCAGTAGAACTGAATATTTACATGAGCTAATCATACTACATTAAAGACAGTGGGAATACTTCCACATCCATACACATCATGACAGATACCAGAGAAAAATGGCAGTGGCCACCATGTAAAGACACAGAAGTAGCAAGAGTTATTATGGAAGCGAAGCCCTCAGGGCCTTGCTTATCTGAGATTCTCCCATCAGAGCCTTGTATTCTAGTGGACTGAACTCAGGAAGCTGCCACCTGCTGCTCCTCTGACATGGCGAGAAATATTATCTTTCTGGATGAAGAAAACATAAGGCATTTTCTAAAGGTCATATTGGACTTCACGAACAATGTAGGCACAGTAGAAGGAATGTTATGGAAACCACACTAGAAAGTAAGTTAAAGCAGATAAAAAGATGCCCCTAAAACCAATCTGGTTGTGGTGATTTAAATGAGTGCCTCCAGAGGTTTCAGGCACTTGAATTCTTAGTCTCCAGTTGGTGCTGGTTTGGCCAGGACTAGGAGGTGTGGCCAGGACTAAGAGGTGTGGCCTTGTTGGGGAAGGCTTGTTGCTTACCTTCTGCTGTGCTCTCTGCCATTAAGTTGATAGATGCCTATCCCCTTGGAAGTGCAAGTCCCACTGAAATGTTTTTTTTTTCTTTAAGTGGCTTTAGTCATGGTGTTTATCACAGTAATATAAGGAAACTAAGACAATGGTAAAAGAACACTTGCCAGAAGAGCAATCAATATTTAATGCCAGCCAAAATGCAAAACATACTTACTTTGAAAAACACTTTGACTGTTTCTTATAAAATTTACAATGAAAGTCTATTCGTTCATAAGTTTCACTGATATAGGCAAGAGATAAGTGCAAAATTACACACATACAATGACCTACAATCTTGTGGATATAATAATCTAGAAAAATATGAGCCAGCAGCAGCAGGTGACGTCAGAGTTGAACTGATAATCAAAAAAAACAGAACCAATAAACTATGGTGAATTCTAAATTTTTGCTTGTGATATTAAGTGCTATTTTTCTACCCAATACAATCTATGCAAATACACACCAACAGAAATATTTAATATTACATTTTTTAATCAGTTTCAGTCAAGGAATTTTCTGGAAGTCATTGAAGGTCACACCTCTTCTGTGTATTTCTCTTGGTCCCTCAAAACAAAGAACTAATTTACTTGGAGTGGCTGGGAGGAGGTTCTGGAGATAACTACTTTTGGAGATAGAATTACTCATCAAGGGTGTGTAAAGTCAGGTGGATCACATCCTTTGTTGCTCAGCTCTCTAATAGCTGAAGAGTCCAAATTCTCACTGACTTTGTGTTGTCTGTGTGGACATATCTAAAGAGGAATGTGACTAGCTGATTACAGTGGTTACCTAGCCAACTAAACAGAAAGGATGCTTTCATCCGGCCAGAAGATGATGCTGAGAGTATCGTTAAATACCCAGAGGTGTTTTAGATTTTCACTTTTCTGAGTCAAAAGAATTGCATCCAAATTTTATAAATCTAGTAAATAATCATAATCCATCCATAGTATGTGTTTTGGGAAAGAAAATCCCATACCCGTGTGTTTTATGTACTGGAGCATATATGAATGGCTTTGTCCTATTTCTTACTTATGACTGAGTTTTATGCAGCATATATCGGCATAAAAATGAAAGGAGAAAATGGAAAAGCAGAAAACATTAATAATTCTATTTTAGCAGAAACATTACATATGAAACAAATTTTCCAAATAGTCTACAATGAATAAATTTATTAGTTAATGGAAAATGTTTTTATTGTAAAAATAAATACCAAATCAAATGTAGTTGAAAACTTAAAACCTTGTCCTTCAAGATATGACATTCTGCTCCAACCATGTATTTGAAAGGTAAATGTTCTTGCTTAGATATCAACTGGTTTGATATTTTTTGCATACACTTCAGTCACAGGAATGGTAGAAACTGCCTTTTGTCTCTATAATAGCATTTTACTGACTTTTGATGTATGTATATTATCATACTAAAAACCTGTAAAATTATTTGCATTTAAATTAGTTTCCAACACTCTTCTGTGGATGTCGAGCTGATCTAAATGCTTGTTTTCAGATTGGGAAGCAGTTCAGTCAGTCAGTAACACAAGTATGAGGAACTGCATCCCTAGCACTCACATAAAAAGGCTCGTACGGTGGCACTTTCTTACAATTTCAGCGCTGAAGAGGTGGAGAGAGGGAGATTCCTAGTGATTATGACAGTGATGCCAGTGAGAGACCCTTTCTTCAACAAAATGTGAATGACACTTGAAGAATGATACCTAAGGCTGACCTCTTGCCTCAACACACACACACTCATACACACTTACACAGGCATTATATATCACTATACACACATATAATCATATATTGCTCTTGTTCTTACTTTCTATAAATACTAATCTTCTGTACTTCACTTTCATATAAGAGAGTTGAGATCCATGTGTGTGTGTGTGTGTGTGTGTGTGTGTGTGTGTGTATAGTGGATTAAAGTAGAAACATTACAACCAACTAAAGAGATTACAATCAATCCACAAACCACTTCTTTTATTCTGGGCATGTAGGTGGGATAAGCATGTGTGGTGCATGTACTTATGCAGGGGATATACATGGAAGCATGTGCATATGTGTGGTGCATGGTACACACACATATATGAAACTCAACTACATCCACAGAAGAGTGTTCAAAACTAATTTTTTTTTCGAGACAGGGTTTCTTTGTTGCTTTGGTACCTGTCCCGGAACTAGCTCTTGTAGACCAGGCTGGCCTCGAACTCCCAGAGATCTGCCTGCCTCTGCCTCCCGAGTCCTGAGGTTAAAGGTGTGCGCCACCACCGCCCGGCTAGAAACTAATTTAAATGCAAATAATTTTACAGAGGCCTGAAGATGATGTTTCCCTATCATTTTCTACATTAATTCTTTGAGATATGATGTCTTAGGGAACCTGGAGATTATTGAGTGGACTAGCCTAGCTGGTCAGCAAGTCCCATGATTCACCTGTATCACTCATCCAACAGTGGAATGGTAGTTGTGTAGAACAGTGCCTGACTTTTTCAATGGTGTTAAGAATCCCTCCTGAAACCTTGTCCACCCTAACTTAAAGAACGGGGTTTCTTTCTCTCTCTCCTTATTCTCTCCTCTGCCTCAATCCTCGCTATAGCTGCTGAGATTTACAGCTTTCTTGTCCTATTCTTTTTCTCTTAAACTCTCATAAAATAAACTGTTTTTTAGCTGAAAATAAACAAGCAAAAAGGAAAATATTTATAAATCTTTTAGGACTATGTTGTGTCAATTTCAAACTTACCGATACCTTTTGAAATTATTATATGTTTTTTGTTGCTGAGATAATGTAATTATGAATGACCATAAATATCACTCAAGATAAAAAATACATTTTATGTCTTTTTTAAACATTTGAGATCCTTTTATAATAAAATTAACCAACATTTGCACACATAAATTCTTAGTCAAAACATAAAAAGCAGTTTTAATATTAAGACAAAATATTGTAATAAAAATTTAGAGTTCCTACCTTTCTGGATTGGTAAGTGACTTTAACATGAGACTCTGGAATTTGTATTGGCATGTGGAACAGTAAGAATCTGAGGACGGCATGTATATGATATAAATGCATGAAATGTTCACAATATCTCTTTTGAACAGAGCAAGGATCTTGAATTCTTTAAGATTATCAAATGGTTTGCTCTTCCTAAGCAGGAAAAAAATGATATTCTCAGTTTGTTAATAAACTTAAACATACTTTTCTAAAATAAGTGCAATGTTAATGAAACACAAGACAATTTTATAGAGCAGAGGTCAGACAAGACAGAATAAAATAACAGTGAGGATGTATGCATCTCCATATGAACATGTAGAAAAGCATATTTTCTTCAAGATTGTTTATCCTGTATTTTGACTTTATAGATCATTCTTCAGCCATTGCAATTCCTTCAGTTGACTAGGACTTCAAATGAAAAATGTTATTCACCAACACATTTTAGAGTATTTTCTTTAAAGAAAATATCAATAAAATACTGAGATTTAAAATGAAAAGTACTATTTTATAAACATAATTTCATGATCACTCTCAATGTATCAAGGATAGTAACAAGGCTTAAACCACACACTTGAACTTTATTTAGCCAGTAACCTCCTTTTAATGATATTATAAAAATGGTCATATCAAGAAAAGTTAGGTTCAAATCATACAGATTGCTTTCTTGAAATCACAAAGCTATTAGTTAATCATTTGTGGTGTAAAAGCATACTTTTAAATCCTGTTTATTACTCCTTTCCTCAATTCTTTATCTCTGTGTGGCAGAAATATGAGTCTATAACATAATTCCTGTCATTATAGTTTTGTCCAAATCCAAGAACCCTCTCTATCGTCATCTCTCAGAAGCTAAAATTAAGGGTCTGAGCAAGTTGGACCAGAGAAACCACAAGATTTGGGTCAGAAGAAAGAAGCAAATGGGGAAAAGAAAACAGAAGGAATTAGACCAAAGGAAAGAGCATGGAAATCCTCACTGAAGAAAACAGTGCAGCAAAATGTGCTCGAACAAAGGCAAGGACCTATGTAGAACAGAGAACAAAATGGCAGCTTTGGTGTGGAAGCCCCAACATTTCCGACCAAGCTTGAACTGTCTGTGCCCTGTTATCCCTTTTTTTTCATCACAGAAGTTAGGTTATCCAAAGGATGTAACCATTCACTTCAAAGTTCATCTTTATTCTCACCCTGGCAGGGTTACCCACTTTCCCCCAGAAAATAACTTCATTTGGTATCGCTTATGTATTTCAAAGAGCATATCCAGATTCTTCAGATTTCCTGCAATAAACTCAGATAGCAATGTCCCCTACAAATTCACATTGTCCCTAGGGTTTCCAACTGCCTGAACTCTTATTTTCTTAGTATCAAGGGCTTTTCTCTCTTCTCTTCTCTTCTCTCCTCTCCTACCCTCCCCTCCCCTCCCCTCCCATCCTCCCTCCCCCCCTCCCCTCCCCTCCCCTCCCCTCCCCTCCTCTTCTCTTCTCTCCTCTCCTCTCCTCTCTTCTTCTCTTCTCTTCTCTTCTCTTCTCTTCTCTTCTCTTCTCTTTTCCCCTCTCCTATCCTCCCCTCCCCTCCCCTCCCCTCCCATCCTCCCTCCCCCCTCCCCTGCCCTCCCCTCCCCTCCTCTTCTCTTCTCTTCTCTCCTCTCCTCTCCTCTCCTCTTTTCTTCTCTTCTCTTCTCTTCTCTTCTCTTCTCTTCTCTTCTCTTCTCTTCTCTTTTCCCCTCTCCTTTTTACTTTCCTTCTTCCCTTCTCTCTATCACCCTCAGTCTCTAAATTCTTACCCTCCCCACTGTCTTCAGACTATTTCAGTGTAAACAATCCTTAAAGACTTTCTGAAGGAATGATAACTATCATAATTTGGTTTAACTTTTAATTTAAAATCTATCTGCTGCACTAGTATATACATAGATACTACTGTGTATATATACTAGTGTGTGTATATATATATATACTACAATATATGCTTTATATATGCTTTAATTTAAAGTCGCTCTCTCTCTCTCTCTCTCTCTCTCTCTCTGTGTGTGTGTGTGTGTGTGTGTGTGTGTGTGTGTGTGTATAATAGCCACTGTTCCACATGCTTCCTTGCCAGTGTACTCTATCCAAATATTTATTGAATGATTAAATTAGATACATCCCATAGAAAACCCTCTACTTCACATATAATGGTTTGGTATGGAATGGCATTTTGAATATTTTTGAGGATCTACAGTTCAAACTTTGAAGTTATTCTATACTACTTTGCCTTTCTCAATTTTCCAATTTAGATAAATTGTCACACATAAATTTGGGATCCTTAGAACCTATAGGTTCTCTCTTGGTCTTTGTTTTAATGCCACTGAACCCATCTAGTTTCTTCTGTCTATCACTCACAAACAATAGCCATTTCTGAAGACTCTAAAATTTCCTTTAATATCGCTATCATTCATCTGATGGACTGCCATAATCTGAACATCTACCTACCATGAGTGTGAGTGATATTGCTTAGTGGGCAAAGCCTACCACACCTAACAGTCTGAGTTTCATTCCTGGAACCCACATGATGGAAGCAGAGACTGAAAACCCATGATATATCCACCGACCTCCATATGCAAGCTGTAGCATTTGTACCCCCCTCCCACCATACACACAAATATGCACAATCAATATACTAAAAATAAATAAATAAAATCCTAAATTTATAAAACCTTACAATTCAAATCATACTATAATAACCAAGTACACTTTTAAGTGACTTTAAAAAAATAACCACACCACAGCAATCTGTACAAAAATCAGGAGCCAGTACATTTCCAGTGAAGTCCAATTTACTAATAAAATAATGAACCAAAACATAGAGTGTTTACAGATCCCATAGAGAACAGGTGAGTAGGATGGGGAGGGGAGGAAGTGGAGGAGGAAAGGGACAGGAAGAAGGATCAGGAGGGGGAAGAAGAGGTAGAGGAAGTGTAATGCAAACAGAAGTTCAGCATTCATATGTGCAATAGTCAAAGGTGATTTTAAGTGTTTTCTCTATAATCTTGGGCATTTTGCATAAAGAGCAAATATTCCCATTTCAGTTCTTGAATGGGAAATGCATGGTCTTTCAAGATTCTTTGATTCTTCTAGTGTTCAAAGAAAAGTTTATATGACAAATAGCTCTAATAGAAAAACAATAGCCAAGCTTAGGCTGACATGTTGTCATAAATATGCATGTCCTCATAATGTTATCCTTTTGTGGACTGAATCCATTATGAGCAAAATCCATCACTATTTCACAGTGTTTCACTGTTTGCAAAGTAAATCAGAACAAATTTCCTTACCTACTGGAAAAAATCGGAGCAACTGTATTAGGAGGTTGGTCTACGTGCTATTTATGACTTTAGTCACTCTGTCTTCTCTGAGCCTTCCAAAAGCAACTTTTCCCAGTTTGCTTATGGGATTGTATTACTTTCAAATGTGTTTACTCCTTTTCTGCCTTCTGACAGCACATTAAGTGCTAATCTATCATGCAGCTCACCACACAGATTCAGTTATGCATTAGCCTTCACCAGTCTTTTGTGACTTTCTTCTGAACAATAACACGATTTCTGTTTAAGTGTGCAGATGTCCCTATAACACCTGGATATGTTTACTCATAAGTTATGTGCTGGATAAGTGAATTAATTTAAAAGCAAACAGTATATTTCTGGTAAGAATAAACAGTAGGCTATATATGTGTGTGTAATATATCCAAAAACTTTTTACAATATAAGAGATCTGTATTAATGAACTATTTACTAAGCAGCAGTTGATATTATAACATACAATATATAATCAATGTCCAAGCTTGGGCAAAATGTTCTCTTAATGAAACATGGACCTTGATAAAATAAAGAATTTAGAATAAAATTCTTATATATGTTCTATATTATTTTGAGTGACTGAAAAGAGGTGAAAATGGGAAGAAAAATTACTTTTACACTATCATTTCCATGTCGTCTGCAATGACTCTTATTAATTTAAAAGTTATAGTTATGTAATGAAATATTAAAATATTTATTTCAATTTTTACTTTCCTGTTGTTGACACAGTATTTCATTTCTGAGAATGATCATAGCAGCCATGACGGAAACTCTTAGCTTTACTTCATTATGAAGTTTTTCAGTTTTTTGTCAACTTGTACTTTTTTCTTTTGATCTTCTTCATAAATTCCAAGATTTGAAATTTTTCTGTGTTCAATATCACATCTACTATTTGATTTGGCTATGTACTATATTTTTTATGTCATTGCAGATTTTTAATTAAATGTTAATATCATTGTAACATTAAGGAGGCTGTTACCATTGTTTGATAACTAAACTTGCTTCCAGTCAGGGAGGTTTTCCTCTCTCATAGATGACAACTGAATAAATCTGTATGTTACTATATGTCCAGATCCAAGACTCACCACACATTACATTTAGTTTATTGGCCAGTTCATGTTATTGTTACTTAAGCTGCAATGACAGTAAATTTTGGGGATAACAACTGTGACTCCTGAAAACCCAAAAGTCACCAATAACAGGAAAGATTGAAGCCAACTTATGCCATATTAATAGCTAAATAGAGTTTATTATTCAGTTAATCAGCAACATGAAAGCAGTTTCTCTTTCTAGATAGTTGAACCAGTACATTGGAAGCAGTAATTTTAAACAAAACAACAATAACAAAAAATCCTTTATATCATTCTTTGGCTTAAGAGAAAAAAATTTAAGAATTTATCTAAGATTAAAAAGATATTCAGAAAACTTGAGCTAAAAATGAACTTGACGTTTAAGTAACATTAGAAACATGTACATACAGTCATATACATGTAAAAATTCATTTGGAATTGAGGAAAAAGATACTTCAACATATATTTGGAAGCTTTGTAGTGTGGAGTTTTATAAATGTTAAATTTGTGCTGCTCTAGATGTCACTGTAGTTTTACAACACTGTGAAAATCATATTTCATAAAATCTGGAGGAAATAAGCAAGCAAGATCATGAGGATGAGTATTGGAATTGAGGGTCAAATATGTAACAAAAATGGCTCCTCCTGTTCCTCTAACATTTGTGACCATGAGCTGTGAAACACAAGCTGCCTGTTACATATTCACTGTCTTCCCATAGAATGAAATACTAGAACATGATAGGTAAACATGATATGTAAGCCTGTGCATTTAGAAAATTAATTCTGCATTATCTACTGAACCATGTGTAGATCTGTAAATAAGCAAACACTTAATTTCTCAAAGAAGTAAGTAAAAAGTGGTACTTACTCATAAAGCCTCGGATATGAAAATTGGTCATGCTGGCTTAATACACTAAATGAAATTGAGCCATCCTTCACAGTTTTGTTATAAGAAACTATACTGAGAGAAAAATAATAGGCTACAAAATAAAAATGCAGAATATTATTCCTATTATATTACAACTTTATTTTGTTTTGTCACAAATGCAGGAAATGCACGCAAGCACACATGATAGTCCCATATTTTATGCAAACAAAAATTTCAGAGAGAATAATTTTATCAATGGAAAATGCATTCTACTTCTTGTTGGGTTATTTCCAAAATATTGTTCCTAATTCTTCGAGAATTTCAGACACATTATTCTGACCACATTTTTCCTCACCCCTAGCTTTTCCCACATCCACCACACCTACCCTACCTTCTGCAACACCAAACTTTGAGTTTTCTAATTTTTTTCTCCCTATTGACTAGAGATTATTTTGCCCAACTATTCTTGGGAGTGGGATCTGCTCTGAACTGTGGTAAACATACTATGAGTCACATCATTATAGAAAACATTTAAAAAGTCATATTTTGAAGAATAAAAACCTGCCAGTCAATCATCAGTCTTGAGTACAGTGATAATTTGGTTAAATTGACACTACATTATGACTTCCCTGCAAACATAAAATCAAATAGAAAAATAACATAAGACAACATTTTTTTCAAGGACATATTTAAATATTGTAAGTCTCTTAGTGACATCATTAATAAATACAACTAAATTTGCTTGCCAACTTTAATCATCATCTCATTGCCTACTGAGCTGTTATACCTCAAGTAGATACATGCAGGGAAGTGCTATTCCAAAATAAAAGGGCTCACAGTGAACTAGAGAGATTTTGTTCAGTGATTAGGAGTCATACAGCTCTGGCAGAAAACTGGAGTTGGAATCCCAGCAGACATGTCAAGTGATTCACCGATGCCTGTAATTCTAGCTCCAGGGAGATTAAATGCCTTTGGTCTCTATGAGCATCTGCATTCATGAGTGTGGATACACACACACAAACACACACACGCATGTGAACACACAAACATACACAGAAAACCACAAACAATGCTAAACTAAATCTTTCAAAATAATTGGCCGAAATTACTACTGAAAAGTCATCAGTAGGTTTTATTTTAGAAATAAAGATATTAATAATGAAGAGTGAGAGATGGAGAAGTTAACATATATGTGGAGGAAACTGAAATTATGAACTATAAATAAAATTTCGATGCAAGAAATAGTTGGAGAAGAAAAGATGAAGAAAGCAGCTGGAGAAGTAAGATAGAAGGCGAAGAACATCAAAAGGATGCAGATATGAGTGCAGAAATCATGACCAACTAGGGCTTGAAACTAAATGGAGCTAGCCTGGGTTGATTCTAAAATTGCTTGGGAATATTGACTGCATTGTCTTTCTATCTTTTCCGCCATGATTGACATTGCATGCCTTATTACACTTCTCTAACTGGTGGGCTTGAAAGTAAGTAACTTGACCCTTCAATTTACAGGTTTAGAAAGCAAGACAAATTCGTCCTTAAAGATTAATTATAAAGAAGGTTTCAGTTATCCCTAAATAACATATGCTTCAGCATAATGGTTCATTTATGTAAATTCTAACCACTTACCACAGAATGGATTTTTGCTGCTAGTATCCAAAAATGCAATGGTCCTGAAAGGCCATCCTTCCTTTTTTTCCTTCAAACCTTCTCTCCACCAAGGTTTAGCTTGGTTACCTAAGATTTAAGAAATAGGCACAGAAATTGAATTCCATCAAGTAGCACACAAATTCTCCAAATCACTAAAGTTCTTAAATGTCAATGGACAGCATCAAGTATAGATTAAAAAGTATGTTGGAAATATGTAAGATGCTTTAAAATATTTTTTAAAGTAGCTCACATTCAAGATTCACAAAAATCACTACATTCTCTGAAAGTTCTATCAGATCCTGACATAAATTAGTATGACTGAGATACACTTGTATCATTTTTATACAATTATATATTCAGAAGTTTTTGCATAACTCTTTTTAGCAAATTCACCAGAATAAGTGAGTTGCATAAAATTTTAACATGCAGTTTAGTTCCATGAATGAAGACCTAAAATTATCCTACAGCTACAATATTGCATTATGCCATAATACATAAGCATAAAAATAATATAAATACATATATAAATTCTATGTTTTCTCCCCTTCTCACTTTTCTCACCCCATTTCCCCTTACCCCCATCCCACCCCACCCCCAAGTTCCCAGTTTTTGCGGGATAAAGGAAGGGTGGATATGGGAGCAGGGAAGTATATATCCTAATTAAGGGAGCCATCTTAGGGTTGGCAAGAGACTTGACTCTAGAGGGGCTCGCAGGTGTCCAGGGAGATGTCCCCAGCTAGTATTTTGGGCAACTGAGGAGAGGGAACCTGAAATGACCTTATCCTATAGCCATACTGATATATCTTGCATATCACCATAGAACCTTCATCTGGCGATGGATGGAGATAGAGACAGAGACCCAAACGGGAGCACTGGACTGAGCTCCCAAGGTCCCAATGAGGAGCAGAAGGAGGGAGAACATGAGCAAGAAAGTCAGGACCGCGAGGGTTGCACCTACCCACTGTGACAGTGATGCTGATCTATTGGAAGCTCACCAAATCCAGCTGTACTGGGACTGAAAAAGCAGGGGATAAAACAGGACTCTCTGAACATAGCGGATAATGAGGGCTGATGAGAAGCCAAGGGCAATGGCAATGGGTTTCTATCCTACTGCATGAACTGGCTTTTTGGGAGCCTAGCCTGTTTGGATGCTCACCTTCTTGGGCCTGGATGGAGGAGGGAGGACCTTGGACTTCCCACAGGGTAGGGAATCCAGACTGCTCTTCAGACTCCAGAGGGAGGGGGAATGGAGTGTGGAGAGGGGAAGAGGAGTGGGGAGAAGGGGAGAGGAGTGGGGGGAGGGAGAGAGGAGTGGGAGGAGGTGAAGGGAGATGGGAGGCGGGGAGGAGGCGGAAATTTTTTCAATAAATAAATAAATAAAAATTAAAAAAAAATAAATCCTATGTTTAGAATGTATTTCTTATATTTGTGCATACTGAATACTAAATTAGTAACATATTAAATAATGCCAAATGCCTCTTTATATCTACCTCAAAACTTTTGAATGTTCATATAACACAGAGAAAACTTAAATTTCAGAATTTTTAACTTCAGTTCAACCTTGTGCTCTTAAGCAATCTATATACTTGCCGTGACTCACAGATGGAAAAATGATGCCACCAGAAAAGCAATCCCATTTAGAAGTATAAGTAAATTTCCCTAATTGGGAGAATTACACAAAATTTTTTACTTGTAGGTCTTGTGGACAGAAGAAATGTATGGAAATGGGGATTTGACAAATCCTGGATGGATCATGCTTCATATAGCGATGCTCCATGCGCATTCAGTAAGGTTGAATAAAGCTTGATGCACTGGGTTCATTTCAGTCCCATGCCTAGAGATGCTTTGACCATGCAAACATTTCAGGAAAACCCTTCCATAATACTAACCATATATTGATATTTTACACCATGCTGAGACCTAATATTTTCTTTGGAAAATACTGAACAGTGTCTGAAATTCTTTAAAGCTCTATTTTTTTTTATTTTTACTTGAACACATTATTTACTTGTTTATTCATTCACATTTTATTTATATGTATAATAACTATAAATATATTTGATATATATTATATCGTATATTGGCATACCCTAATCCTCTTTACCTCCTCCTACTTAATCCTATCTTCTTGTGGAATCTATTGTTTTTCTGTATTTTCCATTGGCTGACTTTCATTTTCAAAAGATGCCAGTGTAAATATCCTTGCTATGTCTTACTGATATGGAAAGCATGAATCACATGCAATTTTTGACTACCTGCTGAGACCAAATGTAAAGCTAGCTATGATGCACATCTCTTCACTTGGGCCTAAGATTTCCTATTAAAAGAAAAAGAATGTGGAATATAGAAATTTCTGCCTGTATGCCTAGGAAGAGGGGTTGACAAATTCCTTAGGAAAAATGGTAGGAAATATATAATCTAAATCTACTGCTATCCCCATTGATAATTTCCACCAAACCATAATATATTAGCAGATTTTATGAATCACAAGTTAGCCTCCAGTCTAAAATACTAGCCCAGTGATGTTACTCATGTTCAAAAGGAATTTTAGTAAATATTAGTTCCCTTACCAAGCCTAGGACAGGAGTCTTTGGGAAGGTTCCCACAGTCAACACATAAACCATTCTTGTAATCTTCGTAGGAGGGACAAGGAAATGAGACAAAACTGCAGTTTGATTCAAAAGATGCAAGGAACAAGTAAACTGCTCTCTGATGGTCACATTTTATGTAATTAACTCCTTAAGGGTGAGAAGAACAAGCAAAACAGCTATAAAAATCAAGTTCAAGAGAATTAGAGAAATACTGACCATTAAGTTATATTAAATTCTGTGTTTCTTTTACATGCAAAGCATTGACCACAAAATAGTTACATATCAACCAATTAAAATCTTAAATTGGGCATGATTTTCTCATGAAATAAACAAGACATTTGCATAACGTAATAAATGTAAAGAATGGCTGTTTAAATTTAACAGGCTACACAAGTGCATGGCTACAATTATACTATTACTATTATAGTGTCTTTCCTTTCTAACGCTATACCCCTAAATATTTGATCTATTGTAAAACATGTCTCTGAAAACAAGTGATGTTACAACTCGCTGATCTCACTTCCCTCTTCCAATCTTTCATACATGTTTCCATTAGTTTGAACTTTTCCAGCCATGGTGGCATTTGACCATGTGTTAACCTGCCATGGTGCCAAAGTGAGCTAGATTCCACAGTCAGAGGCCATTCATTACGAATGTATGGTACAACCAAGTGGTCACGGTTGAAAAATCCGTGTATATGTGGTAATATGTTCATCATAAGTGCTAGATTGTGGGATCAAACTCAAATTCTAAGATATTTAGCTATATATGTTTTTTAGATGAATTTAAATTCCTGTTTGTGCTTAAAATGATGAACTAAAATTGTTAAAACCACACAAAAAGAGTCCTCATCCATTACTAAATGTAGTATATGTTAGTAACCTATGTGTATTAAATTGTATAAATTTAATTTATATCTTGTCAATAACTATTCTATGTCATTAGCGAAAAATATGATATGAAAATATTACCCACAGATTATGATAGCAAAATGTTAAGCTATTTTGTCATATCATTTTGAATCATGTATATCTGTACTCAGAATATATCATCTGAAAAAAGTCTATTTTCAATAAAAGACAAAAGAACAAAAATACTTTTAATGTACCTGAAAAAAGGTTTGTAGGACAACCTGGCTGTTGTTTTCCTCCGTTTGGGTAAAAATCTATATGTCCCAATGGCTCTACAATGCCTAAACCTAGGGGGAAAAGCACCCATAAAATTAAAAAGCATAAAATGTTGTTTGAGCAGTTGTATATAACAAAATCTGTTCAGAAATTTGTATCATTGACAAATGCAAGTTTTAACTTTATTAGTTTCTTCTACTTCCAGCAAATCTATCTTCTGCCTCTCTCCTCCTCCCTTCCCCTTCCTTCCTACTTCCCCTCCTAATTCTCCTCTTTCTTCTTTTTTTTTTTTGAGATATGGATATAAGCAATATCCCAATCTACCCTAGAACCTGCTATGTAACCTAACTCTGCCTCCCTCCCCCCTGCTCTCTTTCTTTCAACTTAATAAACTCATCCATTCAATCAAAAAAGGCTCAGGGCATTTTCAATAATTTTTCTAATGAATTTATCCAATATTTTCTTACCAGTGTTACCAACAGCGTTATAAAGACAATTAAAATCAATAGAGAAATTATTCTCTCCTTATAGAAAAACAGTCCTTCTCTGTGGTTTTAAAGTTGTGCTCAGCTCCAGTTGGTATACATCACAAGAGGAAAATGAATAGAAACATAAATAGCAGCATTGATTATGTTGGCTGAGACTATTCATTTGTTCCCAGCAGCCCAGACACCAAATAATCACACAGAAACTATATTATTTGTAATACTTCTTGGCCAATACCTTAAGATTGTTTCTAGGTAGCACTTACATCTTAAATTAACTTATTTCTATTATTTTATATTTTACCCCAAGACTCATGGTTTACCAGCAAGGTTCTGGCATGTCTGTCTCCCGGAACAACTACATAGTGTCTGTTTGACTCCATATATTTTCTCCCAGCATTCAACTTAGTTTTCCCACCTACCTCTATTCTGCCCTGCTATAGGACTAAAGCAACTTTATTCATTAACCAATGATATTCAAAGCATATAGATTGGAATCCCACATCCCCTCCCCTTTTGTGTCTAAATAAAAAGAAATTTTTAACTTTAACATAGCAAGATTACATACAACAAAACAGGTTTCAAGAAAAAAAATAGAGTTCAAATATTTATATCTACTTTATCCTTTATCTTACCTAAGGAAAACTATAACTATCTATTCCTCAACTTCATCAAAGACCACAGAAGTGCATTGTAAGCAACTTCCAAAACTCTAGAATTGATAGAGATACCTCACTGCCTGTTCAGTTACCCAAAGTTCTTCTGTAACATTGAGGCATCCATCTTTAGCCTACAGGCCCATAGTATCCAGCAGACTTTTCCATGAAGCAGGAAATTTGAAGATCTGTTCTGTCTTCTAATGGCAAAGTCCATCAGTTGCTTTCATTCATGCAGAATGCCTGGGAGTTTCCTCTGTGAAGTAGGTACACTGAAGGACCATCCTATCTTATGGAATGTTCAGCAGTAACTTTTCTGTGGGTTCTGCATATCCAGTTCATACAGCATACATTTAAGCAGTCCAGGCAATAGCAATTTCTTGCCAAAATGACTAGCAAAGTCTATAAGGAGATTCTTCAATTCCCAGTTTCCTCTTGAAGTAGACTGGTACTGCCAGGAGCAGACGTGTCTCACTGTCATGAAAAGCCCTAAGCTCTTAAAACATTTTAAATGCCATATTCTGCACATCTTTGAAAGATTTGGAGAATATTTACCCATCTGAAATATATCTCTGTATATATAAATACCTAACTAACATGACTACAAGTTTGACTATTATAAATGACTATCTATTAATCTGTATTTTTAACTATAAATTACTTTTTTAAATGAATTGCACAAACACAATACTTTAATCAAGAGCAGAAATATACATATAACAAAGTTGACCTTAAATTTATCAATAGACCAAGATCCATATCAATAAAAAGTATTCATCTCTATAGCATATCCCCCTTATAAATGTAAACAAATGTTTATCAACAAGCATTTAGGGAATTTGGGTGTAGTTCTCTTCAAACTGTTTCCTGTTTTTTGTTGGGCAAAGTAATTTTGCAGGTTTACGCGGACCTTTCAGGGGGTCTTGTTTCATTGAACCACATTAGTCTGGAAGGAATCCACAGGTTCTCATCCTCTGTGGAAACAAAATCAGAACGTCTTTTCCAAAGCAACATATCTTTAGACCCAAATTTTGAAGTCAAGATACCTTTAATATATGTATGTATGTATGTATGTATGTATGTATGTATGTTTAGCTTAGCAGCTCATTCCCAGTCAAAAATTTCAAAGAAAGCACAACAATATACATAATCCAGACTATCTGTGTATATTCCATCTTTACATGGCTTATTTTTCTTTACTCCTTTAATCTATGACTGTCTGTACTCTGTCTCCTAAAGTCTTTGTTTTATTTTTTGAAATTATTTACTTCTTTTTATAATTATACTCTTCTTCTCTCCCCCAAGTCTATATACATTTTTAAACACACTATGACCTATTTATTTCTGTCTGAATCTGTCTTTATTGTGTATCTATAATCATTTTGACCAAGAACACTTTAAAATGGTAAGCATCTTAGTCACAGAGACCCTGAATGCTGGCTCTGCCTCTCTCAGGCTTTCAGTAAGGCAGAGGAACCTTACCGCCCACTCTGGGACTGCTGGGTGTGAACCATGCTCACCACCTCAACTCTGGGTAGCACTGTGCAGCATATATGTAGGGCCCTGGTCTCCTTTTGAAAGACCCTACAGACCCCCTCCTCAAAACCCGCAGCTAGCATGCTCCCAGGGGAATGTCCTGTTTGCTTTAAAAAAAAATTCTCCGGATCAGCAGCCAGCCTGCTCTCATAAGAACATCCCATGTGCTTTAGAGAGCAGGAGATAGAGATAGGAAGACTGCAGGGCAGGATGTCAATAAGATAGGATATCAACAAAGCAGGTTGACTGCAAAACAGGATATCTATGAGATAGGAACTGTCATGCCCCCCGCCTCATTCCGATAACCACGCTTTTGCTTCTGTAAACTTGCTTTTTGCTCTTCCCTATAAAAAGCCCGCTCTCCAGTTGGCAGGGGCGCAAGTCCTCCGAAAGACTTTGCCGCCCACAGGTACCTGTGTTTACTCAATAAACCTCTTGCTAATTGCATCCTGTGGCCTGGTCTCAGAGTGTCCTGGTTCTGGGGTCTTCATCAGAGAGGAAAGGTCCTCTCTGAGGGTCTTTCACCTTATTCCTAGGGTGCATTCGCGGGTACAGTTTATGATCAGCTAACTAAGCTTCCTATGTGTTTCTGTGTTCTTCCTGCCCCACCTGGTGGTTAGCTGCAGGGCATTTACTCCATTGTTAATATGGTAATTTCCCACCTGCCTGGGCAGGGATCCTTGTGCTGCAGTTAGGTAGATTAGGACTCCCCCAGTGCTGAATAAACTGCAGTTGGCTGATCTCCTTTCGAATGACCCCAGTCTCTCTGTGTGTTCTTTCAATCTCCAGGCCCTTGCCAGACTATCATTCGAACTGTACTGAGGGTGTAACACAAAATCGGGTGTTACACATATAAACCCTTTTAATCTCTGTATAAGCTAAATCCGCCATGCAGTGCACTTCTCAGCCTGGGAATGACTCTATGAATGGCCATGGGAATCCTCCATGCTCTCCTCCCTGTGCACTCCTAGAAGACCCGAGCCCAGGCCAGGGTACTGAGTAGCATGCAAGCTCTAGGTTCCTTTCCTCCTAACCTGGAGCTAGCATACAAGCACCTGAGCCCCAAACCCCACTCAAGCGCTTGGCCTCCTGAAAGAGCCAGAGCTGTTCCAGTAACTAGCAGGAACCATGAAGCCTTCTTAAAAGAGTCACACAGTGTTTGTTGCTACCGCTGAGTCAGGAAGACCTCTCTTAAAGAATTCGCAGAGACCCTACTCTCTGCCTGCAAACAAAGCCCAGCAGGAAAAAAAAAATGATGGCTACCAAGAAATCATTCTTAATTCTGTTCTTTTGTGTCTAGAATTTCTTTCCAAGTTTTTTTCAGGTTTTACATGGATGTAGTCAGCACATGTTGGACCACCAATTTGCTTAGTTTTTCCTCCTAGCTCTATTTTGCCCTGCTATAGGACCAAAGCAGGTTTATTCATTAAGCAATTGTAGTCGCAGCATATAGAGGGTAATCCCACATCAGACCAGGGCAAGAAATATTATCAAGTCAGTGACTGCCAATAAAATGAAGATGATTATTTTAAAATGAAATTTCAATTTATACAATGACATGACAATTCTTAAAACCTAAACACATAATTTTTGATTGTGAGCCTACCCTTTAATGGCTGAGCCATATTTCCAACCCAAAGGATTCATAGTCATACCACAAGGACAATTGCTCAACTGTGTTCATAGTAGCATTACTCATAATAGCCAGAACCTCAATGCACTTCAACCAAAGAATTTATAAAGACTATGTGGTATATTTAGACAATGGAGTTTTACTTAGTGGTAAAAACACAATGACATCTTAAAATTTGAAGGCAAATAGATGGAACTAAAAAAAAAAATATCTTGAGTGAGGTAACTCAGACCCAGAAAGACAAACATGGTATGTAGTCACTCATAAGTGGATATTAGACACAAAGCAAAGGATAATCAGTCTGATGTGGAACTTCCTTCTGTATGCTGTGATTACCATTAATGAATAAAGAAACTGCTTTGGACCTATAGCAGGGAAGAACATAGGTAGGCAGGAAAAACTATATTGAATGCTGGTAAAAAGTAGACAGAGTCATACAGAAGCCATGTAACCCTACCGGAAATTTAGCCAGTAAGCCACAGCCACATAGCAATGCACAGATGGATAGAAATGGGTTAAATTAATATGTAAGAGTTAGCCAATAAGAAGCTAGAGCTAATGGGCCAAGCAGTTATTTAATTGAAACAGTTTCTGTATGACTATTTCAGGGCTGAGCAGACAGGAAGCAACAAGAGGCCCCTCCTCCTACACCAGTCTATGGTCTACAACCCCAGAAAAGCCAGTAAATAAGGAGAATTCTAAAAGAGACATACATGGATACCCCCGTAGAGGGGGAATAGAATACATCTCCTTAGTAAATTGTGAGCTTGGAAGAGGAATGGTGAAGGGTCGAAGGAGAGTGAAGAGGGGATAAGGGGAATGGGAAGGAGAGCATGAGGGATCCTGAAGGTCAGGTTGGGGGAAGGACAGAGAGGGAGAGCAAGGAAACACAGATATCTTGATAGAGGAAGATACAGGATTAGCAAGAAACCTGGCACTAGGGAAATTTCCAAGAATCTACAGGATGACCCCAGCCAAAAAATCTAAGCAATAGTAGAGGTAGTACTTTAACTGCCTTTCCCAGTCAAAAGATAGATGACTATCTTAATTGTCATCATAGAACCATCACCTAGTAACTGATAGAAGCAGATGCAGAGATCCACAGCTAAGCACTGGACCAAGCTCCTAGATTCCAGTCATAAAAAAAAGGAGGAGATATAATATGAGCAAAAGGGTCAAGATCATAATGGGGAATCCCACAGAAACAACTGATCCTTGCTAGTGGGAGATCAATAACTCTGGACTGACAGCTGGGAAACCTGCATAGGACCTAGCTAGGCCCTTCTACTGTGGATGACAGTTGTGAGGCTTGGGCAGTTTGTGGGACCACCAGCCATGCAACCAGTATTTATCCCTAGTAATAAACTGGCTTTATGGAAACCATGGAGGGATACCTTGCTCAGCTCAGATACAAGAGGGAGGGTCTCGGTCCTGCCCCAAGTGATTTGAGAGACTCTTTAAACCCCCTTGGGAGGCCTCAGCCTCTCTGAGGAGTGGGGCTGGGGTTTGGGGGAGGGGAAAGGTAGAGAGAGAAAGAGGAAGGGAAGGAGAGGAAACTGGTATTGGTATGTAAAATAAAAAAGGTTGTTTTTAAAAAGAACATAAGAAAAAAATAGTAATAATAAATAAACACAAGGCAAACAATACCAGAAACCATTGCAAAAACACAGACAAACAAACAACAACAAAACCCAAAACTCATTAAATCCCAAACATTTTATAAACAGTGCTTCCTTATTTTACAACATCTTCATCAGGAATCTATATTCCACACTTTGCTTTTAAACACAAAACTAATAAATACTTATTATTTTACCGTTGGAATCAGTATGGATGACATCCACAAACTTTGCATCAGTGTAATCTAACCTGCTATCTGCTGGTTTTCTAGAAAAATTTGGTCCAGCTGGGTCAAGACCTGAAATACAAAATAGGAAGTATCAGTCTAATAATGTTTTAGTACTTTGTTATGTTTTATACTTGCTGTATTGTCAATTATAAATACAAATATCTTCAGTTTTAGTTTAAACATGTCTAAGCCTATCTAAAGATATTAAATTTGACAAATGACAAGTGCCTCTTTATTTAAATATTTATTGGCAACCTTTATAGTTAGTCTAAAAACAGAATATTGTTAAGCTATTTTTAGCATTTTTATCTAAGAAGCAGATAGAGTAATTTATGAAACTTTATATTTAATAGTAACAGATATCCCTCCTAATTGAGGAAAAGAGCTAATGAATACCATCCGGACCTCTCTTGAATTATTTGCCTTACTGGCTTCATCCTGTGACTGCCTATAGGTCTAAAATACATTTTAGATATCAATGCTATTCAGGTTAATGAATGGAACGAATTTCCTATTTTCTTAGTAGTCATCTCTCCTAAGAGTTTCCTATACATTCTTAAATAAAAATGTTATAAATTTCATGAAATATGGATATTATTCTATAGGATTAATTCTAAACTAAAATTCACAGATCATGACTTTCTGATAGCAAAGGGGTGAAAATAGAATAAAATCCACTGAAGGACGAGACATCTAGTTTCCCAGACCCATGGAGCAGAAGGGAAAAAAAAACTTACTCTCTTAAGTTGTTCTTTTACCCACATTAATATACAAATTAATATTATTTTAACTATTGTTCACTTCACACTTTTCTATTGTCCTATTTTATTTAGCCCAATTGACATAATGCCCCACCCTCTGTTTCTCTACATTTTTCTTATGTAAGAAGCCTATATTTTTTGGTCTTTCAGACTTTTGCAATAGTGTGGTGGCAGAAGAATAGGCAAGTAAGCATATGCATCAATATGAGCAATTCTACCTCTCCTAACTTTTATGAAATTTTATTAAGACAATGTTATCCTTCATTAATAATTGGTATTATAACATTTCAGTGATATGCATATGGATAATTGCTTAATAAACCTGATGTAGACAAATGATGGAAATCTCTGTAAGCATCATGTCATTGTTGCCTTTAACAACAGTTAAATTTACTGTGTGAATCTGAGTGAACATGAGAATGTTTCAAATTTGAATAGCAACTGCTGATTTGTCTAGTACTCCAGTGAATGTTTAAAAGAATTAAAATCCAACAGCATGTATAAAAGTGAACTATATAACTAATATTTTTAGCTAATAAATAAATGATTTTTTGATGGATCAATTTTTCCCATGTAGCTTTTGACATTTAGATAAAGCTATAAAAACATAATGCTTGATTTTCATGTTTACCTTAATCACTAAGGAAGAATTAACAATCCAATAAAAAGTAATATTTGAATATATTTTGTAGCATATATGGAATGGGATTCCCTTCTGTGTGCTGTGAATATGTTTCATTGCCATTGGTTAATAAAGAAGCTGCTTTCAGTCAATGACTTAAAAGATTAAAGCCAGTCAAAAAATCTTAACAAAGATGTAGAGAGAGAGAGTAGGCATAGTTGAGGAGATGCCGTGTAGCTGCCGAATAAGAGAGATGCCCCAGAACCTTACCAGTAATGGGTTAATTGAAGATGCAAGAGTTAGTTTGTAAGAAGCCTAAGTTAATAGGCCAAGTAGTGTTTTAATTAATATAGTTTCTTTGTAATTATTTCAGGTCTGGGTGGCCAGGAACGAACAAGCAGCCTTCGTCAACAGCAGTGTCTTCAGGTTTTAAACAGAATAAACTCTAGGAGGAAAATGTGCTTAAATGATAATTTTACAAAAAGAAAAAAGATAGTTTTACCTGTGATTCTTCCAAGTTGACCATGAAATAGTTTTCCTACAAAACCACTAATATGAGCCCCTAAGCTCATACCTACGAGATGAAAATTGTCAAGAGATGCTCCATGGTTCTGCAATTGAAAAATACAATGCAATGATTTTAATTTTGGCAAATCACAAATAATTCCTAATATACTGACACTCTGAAATTCATTCTGACTTCACACATTTCTGGGATATAAGTAAGGAGTTAACAACTTTGAAAAGATGAAAACTTTGTTCAGCTTGCATCCTGAAATGTCTTATTTCTCTCTTTTTGTTTCCAGGAACATCATTCAAATTCACCTGTGAATTTAAGTTTTAATTATCCATAATGTATAGTGAGATATTTAATACTTAATTATCAAGGCTTTTAATGATCAAATGGTAATAATAGGCATGACCAAATGTTTATTCTGTGGTAAGTACCTCAACATGTGTTTTATAAGTTTTTATTTAATATTCCTGTTTGCCATTCGAGTTATTCATTACTATTCTGTTACTTAAAACTCTGCCTGTCACCTATCAAACACTAACTAAACAACATTCATGAACATCCATTTACTAAGGAAAGAGGTTCAGAAGTCAAAGACGTACAAAGCTACATATGAAGATGTATTTTAAGTCAGTGATGTTTGGATTTCTATGCCTCTGAAAATTAATATGCTAAAATCCTAACCTTTAATGTTATGTGTATGCAGCAGAGACTAGAAAAAAATGATACTATAAAGTTTGAACACTCAAGAATGAGGCTAATATCCTGATAAGGGACATCCAAAGAAGCTTATTTGAGTCTCCCACAGCGTAAAAACACTGTGAAAAGACACCAACTATGAACCAGGAACTGAGCCTTACCAGCCCAGAATCCACCAATCCCTTGCTCTTAGGTCTCTTAGTCTGCAGGTATGTTTGCAGAGCCAGTTTACTGTATTTCTTTATAGTGTCTCAAATGGAAAGATACGAGCCTGAATCAGTTTGATTACAAAACATATGCTAGTATTCTTCTGTTTTTCCTTCAGAGTATATCAATGACCCCTAATAGAACTGGTAAAAGTATAAAAGCCACTCTTACTTTTGAAATGCTAAAATGAAGTGCTTGGATTTAAGGTGGGTTCCAGGATTACAGAAAAACAATCTAAAGTCAATGTGTGAACATCTATCTGTCTGCCTCAGGTAGTTAGCTTTGTGAGTTCACTGAGTGTGTGTATCTTCCAGCAGACTCCCAGGGAGCTAATAGGAGTTGGTGGTGGTCCACACTATACAGTGATGTCTGAAGGCTCATAAAATGATGTTGAACTTTCACTACTCTTGGAGAGCTAGAGGGGGACTTGTCCAGCACAAAGCAATTTTGTTCTTCAAATTCCTCAAAGCAATGTCCGCAAAGCTGAAGGGGTATTTCTCCAAACCACAAAACTATGGCTACTTTCCTCCCAGTTCCTATAAATCCTCTGTAAGCAAAATACCATGACTTTTCCTTAAATTCTCTTCCTAACTTGCACTTTCTACATTATGAAGTTCCTGTTTATCAGTGAGAGACAGTTATAATTCAGGAAAAAGTCAATTATTCAGGTTTATACACTGTCAATCTTCTTGTCAATTATTTTATCCACTTTTCTCTTGGGTCACAATATTTTTAAAATTGGAAATTCAAAATAATAATGCTCTTAGCAATGATGACTAAAAAATGTAATGAGATTACAGTAATGTCTACTCCCCATATAGGATCACTAATTTATACTGAATTCAGGATAGATAAGGTTTAAAAGAGTCTTAAATTTTTAATTGTTTAAAATAAAATGGTTTTTATATTAAAAATGTAAAATTAAAATATAAAATTATTTAGAGTAGACAAAATATGGCTACAAAATCACTATGTCTAATATAAAGTCTCAAATGTTTATGGAAAAAGTTTTAATTTTGTGATGTCACAAAGCAACCCATATATTGTGTAGCATGTATATTTTAAAATTTTAATACTTACCAAAAGATTTTGAATGGACACACTCAAACTCTCAGCCACCTTCCTGGTGTTTTTAACAGCTCTTCTGTAAAGGAAAGTTGCAGCACCATGGTTCCAGTCTACAACAATGAGATTCACATCTTCCTGTTTCAAAACTGCCTCAGTAAACATGGGAAGCCAAACTGGGGCGGATCCCAGTGGTCTGAATCCATGAATAATCCAGACCGTTTTTTTTGACAAGTCGAAACGGGCATTAAGTGAGTTATTAGATCCAAACAACGGTTCTGCACAGGTTGAATTGTACCTTGTATACATCATCAGACTTATCTTTAGATTAGTGATAAACAAATCTTTTAGGGAATACATTGCATTTAATTTTGAGAATTCAAGACATTTTCTATTAGTCTCTGTAAAAAAAGAAAAGTCAGTATGAGTATTAGGTTAACATTGCAGTTTTATTGCTGCAATATTGTACAAGTGAACTGAATTCTATTTTATTGGCACTTTATTTAATTTTTTAAATTTATTTATTTATTAAAGATTTCTGTCTCTTCCCCGCCACCGCCTCCCATTTCGCTCCCCCTCCCCCGACCAAGTCCCCCTCCCTCATCAGCCCAAAGAGCAGTCAGGGTTCCCTGCCCTGTGGGAAGTCCAAGGACCACCCACCTCCTTCCAGGTCTAGTAAGGTGAGCATCCAAACTGCCTAGGCTCCCACAAAGCCAGTATGTGCAGTAGGATCAGAAACCCATTGCCATTGTTCTTGAGTTCTCAGTAGTCCTCATTTTCCGCTATGTTCAGCGAGTCTGGTTTTATCCCATGCTTTTTCAGACCCAGGCCAGCTGGCATTGGTGAGTTCCCGATATTGGCACTTTAATGTGATCTACTGAGCAGCTACAATGCTAAAACTTACATTGGATCAAACAAAAAGCCTCCCTGAGCTTGAAGTTATAAAAATAACAACAAATATGAACAAATGTGATAGGTTAAAAATGACAAACACTCTTTTCAAATAAAATAGAAAGTGTCAGGCTGAAATCATTCCTTTTACTAATCACTGGAAACATCAGCAGTGAAGACAGATAAACTGATTGTGAATCCCCCCAAAAGCTTTACAGAAGGGTACTTATTAATTAGGAAAAACTTAAGCTTGCCAGTACCAATATTAACACAAATAAAAATAAAGTCTACCATTTTGCTTTTAAACTTAAAGTAGTGAAAAATTCATTCTAAGGCATATAATGCCAGCACTTGGAAACGTGAGGCAGAAGTACCGCCCGGACATGGTTAGCCGTGGTGACATAGCAAGAGCCTGAGAAGAAGAAAAAGTGAAGAGGAAGAGAGGACAGAGAAAGTGAAGAGAATCATCCCAACAAAATGAATGTGTGTATATATACAAAATACATACAAATGAATGCTGAGAGAATGCAATGATAAAATGTTGTTTCAGAGTTTTTTAGCATTAAAATTATGTATTTGATAAGATTTAAATTAATAAAGTAAACAACTGCATTAATTCTAAAGTTATCAGTCACAGGCTTTTGCACAGTGGCACAAAGAGTAAAAATTTTTATCTACCTATTATCATCTATCTTTCTATAACTATCTGTACATAATCTATCTATTCATCTACTCATCTGCTCATCCTAGAAAGAAATAAGCCAGAAAATGAAATAACTGAAATGTTCAATAGCAGTAATCATTGTAAGGCAGTGATATAATGGCTGCTTTATATTTAGCTTTTCATAGCTTTCCAAAATTGTGAATTATTGAATAAGCATAAGTATAAAATATTTTAATGAGGGCATAAGTTTGTACTACATCTAGAACATTAATCTGGTAACTCTATTTAGGAAGTAAATTTTTTAGTACTTGTCAAATACTTAAAAGACATTAGTAAACTTCATCTCAGCAATTCAAAATTTAGAAATTGACCACAGGAAGAAAAGAACAAAAACACTATTTTAATATTGCGCATAAGATACAATACTTATAATAATTCTAATTTAGAGCATACAGATGCATTATTGTCATAGTAATTTGGAGGAAAGAAGCCAGTCAAGGAGCTTTAACACTTGCACAACTTTCCCAGGTTAACAATGGATATGTAATGAGAAGACCTTTGATCCTGCATACACAGTAAGTGCCAGAGATAAAGGAAGACATAAGGAGGAACATTTAGTTCTATGGTGGCTATGAACTTGTTGTGCTGAACAAATTGTGTGAGTTATACGTATCTGCCCCTGGTGCTGGAGAATTGTCTGTATTCTGTCAATCATGTTATAGATAAACGCTGATTGGCCAGGCAGGAAGTATAGGTGGGAAAACCAGACAGAAAGTAGAAATGATGTAATGAGAACAGGAGAATTCTGGGAAGGAGGAAGCTGATTCCTCCTACTCCTGCCTAGACCACTGAAGCAGCAGGATGTGATCTGCTCCACTGAAAAAAGGTACTGAGCCACATGGCTAACATAGATCAAAAAATGGGTTAATCAAGATGTGAGAGTTAGCCAATGAGAGGCTAGAGCTAATGGGCCAATCAGCTTATAATTTATGGAGACTTTTATGTGATTTTCTTTGTGGCTAAACAGTTGTGGGGTACCAGGTGGGATAGAAACCCCAACAACAAGCAGGGCCTCTTCATGTTACATGCCACATTTATCACAGAGTTTGGACAAGGGCAAAATATAATCTGATAATCCAAAGAGCTGCTTGGTAACAAACCCTGATAGACTTTGCCTCATCCTAGAAGGAGTAATGAGAAATTAACTAGTCAGAAAACTTTTATTTAAATAAGGGGAAAAGACTTCGTCTAAATAGTCATCAGAAAAATATAGCATCTATTACCAGGTATAGCATTAATTGCTAATTTTTAAAGCATTCTAATTCAGAATAGAAGAAAACAATGTCATTTCAAAAGCAAGAGAAAGAAGCTATTAAGGCAAACTTTAGAAGTCACAAAAAACAGCATCAGTTAAAGAAAAGTACAATTAAAACTCCAATTAAGGAAAAGTACAATTGTGTAATAAACATTCAAATTATAAAATCATATAAGATATGGAAATTTCTTTCTGCAGGAACACATCATAGATGAGAATGAAGACAAAGGGTGCAGAGAAATTTAAACAAATTTAAACGTGCTACTTCCTTGAGGAGAGTTACTTGGTGGGAGAAGAGAGAAGGCCTGTTTCATTAACTAAGGACATAATTGTAAGGCATGGTTTGCAAACTCAACAAACTCCCCAAAATGTAGAGAAAAATCACTCAATAAGACTCACCAAGATTTTTATGCCGTCCATTGCCTTTCGATGGCAAATTTAAATATCCTAAAATATCAAGACAGAAAACTGAGGTTACAAAGAGAATAGTGATGAGATCAGTCTTTCCTGTTAAAACAATGCATTAGATGGATAGACTTACAGAGAATGAGAAGACTTTAAATGGGAATAATTGGGCACTAACAACCTTGGGCCTTATTCTGAAAGTTACTACTCACAAGTGATTGTTACACTCATTGATACCATGTGTGTATGTACACATGGTGCAGGCACATAAATGTATTGGCACAGACCCCTGTGTGCATTTATGAGAAGACCATTGCAAAGCACCAGAAACCTTTTTTTCCACACTCAATGTGACTGTCTTGTGACAGGATAGCTCAAAAACCCACAAGCTAGTCATTTTACTAAATTACCAGTAAAGGGGAACTCTAAAGGTCCACTTGTCTCTGGCTCTTCATGCTGGTGCTATAGACACTCACAGGTATTCCCACCTGTTTTCATGGGCACTGGGGATTGATGGGGAAACTATCAATTGATAGTTTCAACCAATCACACCTAGTTAGGGTGTGGCCACCTAGAGCCAAGGTAGAAAAGCCTAGGGATGCAGGTGCACTTTCACGGTGACTGCCGGACCTATTGGATTTTGGAACTCCCATTCTTACAGTGTAAGTCCCCCCCCCCCCCCTTTAACCATTAAAGTATTCCTGTTACTCTTGAGCTAGCCTGGTTACTTATCATACCTACCTAATTCGCGTCACTTGGTGCCCTGCAGTAATCTTTGAAGTTTCCAGGAAGAAGATGGTGTTCCCACAACAACATTCCACTTGGTTAATATGACATCATGATGCTGTTAGCGCTACTACAAGACCTGTTTTTGGGTACCAGCTGCACAAGACGGTTCCAACTTGGTTAGCTGAAATGGTGCACATCTTTTACAATGTTCTGGCCTGACCTCCACAAAATTCTCAGAGACTATTTGCAATTTTACTAGACCAAATATTAATCTTGGAAATTAACCATCATTTACTTTCACAGGATCCCCTAAGAAGAACGTGGCCCCCATAACAGCTGGATGCAATTTTAGAGGACGACGTCCCCTCTCCCAGCAAAGTTCGCCCTCAGGTTTAGAGACATCATTTAGGGGTTGGTTATAACTGGTATATGGTTGAGGGATGGGGGAGACATTTTATAGGCTCAGGGATCTTCTTGGAAAAAAAAAGGGATAAGTGGATGATGGGATAATAAATTGGTATTTGTGACTTATTGTTTTTAGACAATTATATTGGTATCAATTCTTGTATTTTGATACATAGTTAAATTATATTGAATATTCTATGCATGTTTGCTTCTACCTCTATTTGAAACATTGTTTATGTATTGACATATATATTTACCATATTGCAGTGTACACTACTACCTCTGATCAAGATACTTATACATTGTTTACATTTGAGGGTCATTGTTCTGATTTATTGCACAATTGTTTGTTATCTTCGTCTTAAAGTTAGATAGGAATTGAGAATTATAGATTAATAGTCATCTATGTTTGTTATATTTATATTTAGGTTAATCAGGTTCTTCAGATACATAGATATTATATTCAGTATAGATAGATAGTCTTCAATCTCTTCAAAGAGCTATAGGAAATGGCCTTTAATCTAACTTAGAGTTTGGTGGTAATAAGACACAATCGATCCTAACAACACCAATCTATTCCTGAGAGAATGCTGAGCACCAAAGACACTCCACCTGGAGCCTTTCTTCTTGGCAGAGCTGGCCTTTGGGCAAAGAAATGCCCATACCTCAACCACTGACAGAGATACAAAGTATCTGTAAATGGATAAAACAGGACTGTCATATCCTGCCAAAACAGGGTAAAATACTTTTGAAAAGTTTCTTGCCTTTGAAAATGGTATGTCAGTTATGTTAGGCCTTAGCCAAAGTTGGTTGCTTCAACATTGCAAATGAGACTTTGGGTGATTGCCCAGGTAGTCAGTTGTCTCTGTCATTTGTTATGCAACTTGAAAGTTTCTCAATTACACTTCCTGTTTACTCAAGTAATATTGTTTCCCTTCTTAGATCTTTGATGGTGTTAAAGATTAGATAATTGTAGTTACC